CACATAAAGGCAACTCTGGGCAATCAGTGGTCAGTAGTCACAGCCTTTTGGTCAGGGGGCCAAAAGGGCACTGGACATTCGCCTACTGGGGTGCCAGTGCCACTGCCACTGGTGTCTCATCTCCCACTGTGTTCCAGGCCAGTTCTAACAGAGGGGACATGAAGGAATAGGAGCTGGCTGGCTGATTGCTGCAGTGGCTAGTGCCAGGTCTGTTCCTTGTCAAGACCCACTTGAGTTTCCCCAGGTATGAATGGGAAAGGCATGAAAAGCACAGGCTAGCCCTTGGGGGTCCCTAAAGGGAGTCAGTGGCAGTGTTCAGGAGGCATGATTGGGGGATTGATTGCATGGGCACCAACTGGTCATAATTGAGGCTGGTTACTGTGCTAGAGAGGAAACCTATGAGCCCTTTAGAGTGCCAGTCAGTAACTCAGTTAGGTCAGTGCGGGTCCTGGAGAAGGGTCTTTGCTCTGAATTAGGAGAGGGCTGAGGGTACTATATGCTACGTGGTACAGAAGAATTTAAGTATTTTAACAAACTGTGTGACCACAAAAGTGTACTGACTGATTATTTTAGCCCTTGGAGGTCTGAGAATCGTAGACTCTTGAGTATCCATGGCAGTTTTTACATGCATAAGGAAATTGTGCAGTTTCTTTAGTTTTCTCCTAATTATTTTCTGGGATAAGTCGAGTCCCAGAGAGACTATGAGATGAGAATGCCTGGTATTAAGTGAATAGTGCCTCCTTGACCTCTGCTATTGGCTGGAATTCATTGAATTTGCACTCTCACTTCCTCTTTCCTGGATATAGTGAGTAGAGTGTGTCCTTTCACTTATACATGTTGAATTAACAGTAGATGTGTCTCTGTGTCTTCCAGTTTTAGAGACAAGTCTGAAAACTTGTGCAGGAGGTGTGAGCAAATGGACTTAGTTGAGATTCTGGTCAGAAATGTTAGTGATAGGGCTTAGGTCTTGGAGACACAGCTGGGGCAGAATATTCTGCTCAGGGAAGCCAGGAGTGGAAAAACACAGAAGCGGTGTTCAAGCTAGAGTCTTTGGAGAACTCAGAAGACCAGTTTCATTCATTGATATCAGGGACCAAGAGCTTGGGAGTCCTAGAAGGGAGTGCGAGAAAGGCCACAGAGAGGAAGGTCCAAAACTATCATAGCAAATAGTACAAAGAATCTCTGTTGTCCTTTTCGACCACTTGATATTTGGATGTATTGGGTCTGTATAAAGGTACAAGCTCCAAACAAATATTGATGAATATAGAGATCTTTCTGTATGTGGTTGAAATTTATGTAGAAAATTAATAGAAATTATGTAGAAAATGAGACAAATACTGCACCTGGAACCCTGAGTCATGTCCGTAGGAAACAGATGAGAAAGTATCATTGGTAGTTATTCTAATAATAGAATTGAAGGGGAAAGAGAATGCTGTGGAGACTTCAAGCAGTAAGAAGTCGAGCAGGGTGGAGCAAATTGGCTGATGGGGGGTGAGAAGAGTTAAAACACATTCCTTTCTAAGTGTAAGAAGACAGCAACAAAGATAGTCTAGTGAATAGAATACTACAATCACGATCAAGAAATTAGAATCATTGTTCTCATTATGCTACAGTTTTGTGACTTTTTACAAGTTGCTGTCGCAGTTCATGACTCAAATATTACATATAAAAATAATACCTTTTTGTTTTCTCATAATGAATACTGTGAATATTAATGAGGTACTATTTATGGTATGTATACTTTGGATTCTGCAAAAAATGCTAACCATATTACTCGTTTCTATTTGGCAAAGTATTTAACATAAAAAATGAGATGTTAGGGCTAAAAGGGGGATATACAGGACATCTAGCTCAAATCTTACATTTTATAGATGAGGAAATTGAGATCCAAAGAGGTGAAATAACTTACCATCTAAATACAATGGAAGAAGTAGGACTAGAGGACTCCAAGCTTTCAGTCATTTCTTTCCTATACCCAAAATCTTCCCAGTAAGTATTTATGGTGAGTAATATTGGTTGGAGTAATATTGTGTGGTGAGTCACTTGTTTGACTAAATTTAACATTTCGGCAAGAAACCTCGACAAGAGTCTTTGCTGTAATTTGGGGGTAGGGGTGGGGGCACTTAACCAACTCAGCAATGCTCACCAACCTGAGTTCTTCAGGTAGTCATAAAGAAATGAGAAGTTATATGATACTTTGTAAACTATCTTGTTGAATAATTGTGGGGATATTGGCTGATGATAAAAGCCTAAAGACGACCAAGGTCATGTACCAATTTAAAACATGAATGTACCACATAAACGTAAGGTTTTCATCACTTTTGCACAATTTAAAGTTAATACAGTTCTACATGTGTAACACAATGATGCATGGAATAAATAGAAGTGAAAACTGAATCCAAGATCTCAAGCTGTATGTTGCCTGGAAAACAGCCAGAAAATGTTTTGTGAACCATCACTTAAGGAAAAAAAAAAGTAGCCAGAGGTCTACAGAAGAATGGCCTTGTCTGACCTTTGTGGCCATAGACTTGGACCCACCACAAATGCAACTTTTTAGATAGTTTCTCCTTTGGAACATAATATTAAAGGGAAAAATAAAGTCACTGGTGAGGTCCAGGAATGCAGCTAAGGTCATCACAAAGGTTATGTAGTGTGGATCACAACTCCACTGGCACTATATGTGCTACGGTCCTTTTAAGAGGTAATGTGAATCAGAAAGGGAACAACTGCAAGCAGGAAAGTAGAAAATAGGTCAGTGTACTCTGAAGCATGACTTAAAACCAACCTACTTAGTTGTGACTTGAAGGAGGACAAAAGCAATGGTTAGTATGCTGTGCAGCTTTCGTAAGTGGGAGCTGCTCCATCTGAGCATTTCTTGTGGCAAGAGAGAGAACTCAGTCGAGTGTGACTGACAGGTATACAGGGAGGACAGTCATCCCAAGTACACAGTGAGGAAATGATCTTTTGTGCTTGCATTGTCTTTCTGGATACACAAATCTGGATATAAATTAAACGTATAAATAATTCAAGCGTGACCTAAAAAAATTCATACAGAAGGAGGTGAAGCAAAAGTAACAGTCCTTTTTATTCCTAATCCCCTTCACATTCGGCTTCCTAGATAGGGTTAACAGTTTGGTGTGCATCCTTCGGGCCCGTTTTGTGTCTGTGTGAAAAAACATATAGACGCACGCACACACACATACACATGATATGTATATACATTAATTGAGGACCTACTGTGTTCTGGATCCTGAGCTAAATGTTTCACTCCATACACAAGTATAGGAGCAGTTCAGTCATTCAGTAATCATTTCCTTACAAACTTTGGAACATGGTTAAAATCTCAAAAGTAAGATTTTGATTTGCTAAAGTAAATGACACATGCTGTGTACACTCAAGTCCCAATGCAGTACCTTTCAAAGGCTCGCTCTTTGAGGCAATTTGCATTTTTTTGTATGAAATTCCAGTAAGGCTATTTTATTGGTTTCTCTACCACAAATATTTCAGCAGTAGCAGGTGGTAGTAGTTCAAGTTGGGGTAGTCCCAGAGAGAAGAATAAGAAATTAGATCTGACAACCTGAAAACTTTTGAGGATATGAAAACACTATAAAATGCATGATAGAAGAACTCAAGAAGCTTGACTATGTGGGGCTGTTTGAAAGAGAGCCAGTAAGTAGCTCCCATACATGAAGTCATTTAAGGTTTGACTATAGCTCAATACAGTAGTGGTAACTTACTTACAGTGACAACACATAGAAGGCAGAAATTGACACATTTGTTGCAAACATCTGGGGGCATCAACCATTTTTCAGTGAATGGAATTATTAATATCTGTCAAATGGCTAAGTTGTATTCGACTTTTTTCGTATGAGAAAATAAGGGCTACGAAAATGCACATTTTGTTGCCTTCTATCAGCGTTTTCTATTTGCATAAATGATGGGCTTAAAAATAAATCCCCAATTTTAAGGGTATGGAATTTTAAATTTGTGCATATGAGGCCATCCAGTTTTGAAAATTTTTTATTCTTAGGGGGCATGATACTTTCTTTTTAATTTCATGTTCGAAAAGATTTAGAAATTTAGTAATTGCTATATTTATTTTAAAACAACAGCTGTGACTTTTAAATGTGTCAAACATGTTAAGAACTTGAAAAGTTGTAGCAAATCAGGGCTATCTTAATAGTGCCTGCCGCTAATAGGATTTACCAGGCAGATGTAAGTTTGTGATTTGAAAGGATATTAATGTCCTTTCAAGCATAGTATACTAATGAATTCTCACTTTACTTATGTTAATTTCTGATAAGAAAACAGAGATGTTGACCCTAAAGATGCTTGTAGGAAACATGTAGGAAAAATGATTTTTAAAAATTTAGCTTTGTGTTTTGAGATGTTTAAAATAGCATCTTTTGAAAGTGCTAAATCCTAAGGCAGGGCCGGCCCCGTGGCTTGGTGGTTGGGTGAGCGCGCTCCACTGCTGGCGACCCGAGTTCGGATCCCGGGCTCCCACCGGCGCGCCGCTTCTCCGGCCATGCTGAGGCCGCGTCCCACATACAGCAACTAGAAGGATGTGCAGCTATGACACACAACTATCTACTGGGGCTTTGGGGGGAAAAAATACATAAATAAAATCTTTAAATCCTAAGGCAGTAGGAGTGATGTGTGTGTGAGATCATGCATGGATATCACATATCTCATTTCAGGCTTAGGACAAGAACTAAAATTAAACAAGCTTCATAATATATTTTTCTTTTTGTATAGTTTATAGAAAGTCATTTAGTTTTAGTTTTCAATTCATTGCTGTTCAAATTGCCAGAGTTAGGCCTTTTGAGGGGATATGTAAAAAGACTATTTTTACAAGGCAATGTTTCTTTTTTCCATATATGCAAATTCCATTATAAATGACCATTTCAATTAGGAAGAACTGGTAAGTAAATAACACTTTTTGCAGTTTTTGTTGTTATTGTTGTGAACTTCTGGATTTTTTGCTTGTTTAATTTTTCCCTATTGATTATTGGCTTAGCTGCTTTGTAGCCTAAAGTTTCTTTGGTATGACTAGTCCATCAAAAGATATTAATAATTTCACATTACTAGAACTTATTTTACATCTACAGAAACTCTTTCTACTTTCTACAGAAACTCTACAGAAACATCTCCCCTTTTTGTGTTTGATCTCTGCTTAGTATAACAGCAGAGTTAGTCGGGTAATAATAGTGATGTTGGAATCTGTGAATTCTTGTAATTCATCATGACTGTTTAAATTATCATGATGAATGGGGGAGCAGTATTGCATAGTGTTTAAGAATGCAGACTTTAAATGCTAGCGACCTACCACCTGCCAGATGTTTGGGAAAAGCACTCGAATCTCATTGTCTTCTTTTTGTAAAGTGGGGTTGTTAATAGTGTCTACCTCATAGGATTGTTGTAAAGATTAAATAAGGTAATACATGTAAGGCATGTATAGTAAGCACAATGAGGAAAATATTGATGTGGTTAATAACTGAGTGAGAAGTGTTTGAGACCCAAAGAATATCATAAAAAGCAGCACCCTGCCCCTTTTTCCTGCCAAATCCCAGACCTATGAATTTTCTCTGCCTGGATTTGTTTTGCATTTTCAGGTTCTGAGCCTCTGTCCTAGGGATATAAGCCTCTCTTCAACTGTGGAGGCATTAGTATGTCTCAGTGGAGAAAGTGTTTTCCTACTGTAAGCAGGGTGAAAAATGATGATTTACTCTCATTACAAAGTTAAACATTGCATTTCCCACATGTTTGTATAAGTCACCAAATAAGCTCAGACAAAAGCAACAGCTTTGGGGCCTGGCCCGGTGGTGCAGCACTTAAGTGCACGCTCTCTGCTGTGGTGGCCTGGGGTTCACAGGTTCGGATCCCGGGTGCGCACCGAGGCACCACTTGTCAAGCCATGCTGTGGCGGTGTCCCATATAAAGTAGAGGAAGATGGGCACGGATGTTAGCCCAGGGCCAGTCTTCCTCAGCAAAAAGAGGAGGATTGGCAACGGATGTTAGCTCGGGGCCAGTCTTCCTCACACACACACAAAATCAACAGCTTCCACTGTTAACCTAGTGGTAGAGCTATCATTTGTTCAACAGCACCTTGTATGTTGCAGGCACTGTTCTAGGTACTGGGTGGCAGGTGGGAGCAAAACAGACAAAACTTCACAAGAAGTTAAAGAAGACAAGGGAGTCATATGGTATGTTAGAAGGTGGTAAGTGCTAAGGAGAACAAAAAAGCAGGAGAAAGAGGATAAAGAGTGCCAGTGTAATAGTGAGTGCGTTAGGGGTGGGGGAGAGAGGCAGTGGCTGCAATTTTAAACACGGGTCAAAATAGGCCTTACCTGAGAAGGTGACATTTAAGCACCTTAGTTTTCCTAATTTCGATTTAAATAGTTATTAAAGGAATTTTTGAACAACATAAAATCCCAGCCTAAGTTTTTAAATGTTTATTATATGACCAGATAACAAATAAATTGTATTTAGCTATACATTTTTCTTAGTGAATAGTGGATATCTGTGAAGCAAAACTGTCAGTGTAATTTATTTCTTAGCAGTGAAAATGAACTGCATTTTTTAAAAAAAGAATTAGAATTGCCCAAATCTTGACAATTAAACTAGATTTGTAATAGAAGGGAAATATAATTGTAGAATTGGAGTTAATACATTAGAATGTTGAACTCATTTACCTTGTTAATCATGGATTTTATTCATGCAGCAGTGTGATCTTGTCAAGGGAAAATAAAAAGGCTTTTCTGCATTTGAAGCAATCTCATTGCAGTAATGAAAATTTACTTGAGAATGTGTTAGACGATTTAGAAATTAACTAGTTCCCTTGGGGAATTTAAGTTTCAGGAAAATGGTGATTTTTATCTAATATATTTTTAAATATGTGCTGCTTTATCTCTTCATACATTTTTAAGATTTTTGACGGAGGATGGACATAATGAAATCGATATGTTTAAGAATAAATTGGATGTTAACTTTGAGGACTTGCAGTTGTTGGCAATAATGAAGTTTAAAAAGCATTATTATCTCAAAGTGAAATCTTGAGAACTCACATGATAGAAACAGAAAAATTGGTTCAATACACTATAGTATAGTTCGAATTGGAATTATTCTTGTCCATGACTAATGAAGATGTTAGAGAAGTCACCAAATAATAAAGAGCTTTTTAAATAAGATGGGTGTTAACAGTAATTATTGATTCTTATTAGCTAGAACTGAATTTCCACAAGGCTGTTTTTTGTTTGGGATACGTTTATGTTCATTAATCGAGCTTTATGTTCAATAAGTCCATAAGTGGTTTTATTATTCAAGAGTAAATCTTGAATGTTGAGATACTTTAAACACATTTATATTTATTTTTCCTTTGCTTTGCCTAGTTTATTTACTAAAGAAAGTCTTAGGGTTGCATTTAATTATCTTTTATATTACAAAAGTAGTACACAATCAATGTAGGAAATTCTGAACACACAGGAAAATCACAAATCAACCCCCATAATTCACCACCGTTAACATTTTGCATATTACTGTGTTTTTAAATATATATGTACATATTTTTAAATATGTAAATATACAAATACATACCTTTATTGTAATTGTGGGATTTATAATTTTGACAGCTGTAAGGTGTAATGGTTGAGAACATAAACTTTGGAATCAGAGAGATTTGAGTTTAAGTCTAACTCCACATATGTATTAATTATGTGAACTGGGCAAGTTTCTGAGCCTCAGTTTCTTTATCTGTTAAATGAGGAAGATGATGATGATTGTACTTTCCTCATAGGTTGGTCATAGATAGGATTAAATGAGATTTTATATATAATGTCACAAATATTTGCTCCCCTATCAAGTGTATAGGAAATATGAGCCATTATTGCTGTTTTATATTTTAGATTTTTTCACTTCAATATGTTGTGAGCATTTTTACAAGCTCAATCTTTATTTTCCTGAATGATATTTTCTACTGTATTAATTCAAATTTATCTGAATATTTTATCTTTTACTTTAAAATTTTTAAATTAAAATAACGACTTACATAAACTTTAGTTGTAACTATAATAGCTACTGATTGCATGTAAAAAAGGTTTATGTTCAAACACATTTTTTTCACTGCAAATAGGTTACATAATTCAGCAAGGAGTACGTAATTCAGACATTTTCTTGAGTTTGATTTTTTTCCACATCCTCACCCATACTTGTTATTGTCCATCTTTTTTGTTATAGTCATCCTAGTGGGTGTGAAATGGTATTTCATTATCATTTTGATTTGCATTTCCTTGATGGCTAATGAAGTTGAGCATCTTTTCATGTGCTTTTGGCCATTTGTATGTCTTCTTTGGAGAAAGGTCTATTCTGATCCTTTGCCCATTTTTAAATTGGGTTTGTCTTTTTATTATTGAGTTCTTTATATTTTCTGGGTACAAATTTCTTATCAGATATATAATTTGCAAATATTTTCTCCCATTCTGTGGGTTTTTTCACTTTCTTGATGATATCCTTTGAAGCACAAAAGTTTTTAATTTCAATGAAGTCCAGTTTATCTATTTTTTATTTGGTTGTGTGTGTCATCTAAAAACCCACTAACTAATTCAAGGTGACGAAGACTTACACCTATATTTTCTAATGGGACTTTTATGGTTTCAGCTCTTGTATTTAGGTCTTTGATCTATTTTGAGTTTAATTTTGTATATGGTATGAGGTAGGGTTCAACTTGATTCTTTGGCATATGGATATCCTGTTGTCCACCATTAGTTGAAAAGACTGTTTTTCCCCATTGAAATACTTGTCAAAAATCAATTGGCCATGAATATAAGGGTTTATTTCTGAACCCTCAAGTCTTTTTCCATTGGTCTCTATGTTTATCTTTATGTCAGCACCACACAGTCTTGATTGCTATAGCTTTATGGCAGGTTTTGACATTAGGAAGTGTGACTCCTCCAATTTGTTCTTTTTTGAGATTGTTATGGCCATCCTGGGTCGCTTGAATTTCTATATGAATTTTAGGATCAGTTTGCCAATTTCTGCAAAAAAGGCAAGTGGGATTTTGATAGGGATTGTGTTGAATCTGTAGATCAATTTGGGGAGTACTGCCATCTTAACAATACTGTATCTTCTGATCCATGAACGTGAGATGCCTCTCCATTTATTTGGGTGTTCTTTAATTTCTTTCCACAATGTTTTGTAGTCTTCAGAGTACAAGTCTTGTGCTGCTTTTGTTAAATTTATTCCTGTTTTACTCCTTTTGATGATATTGGAAATGAATTTTTGTTAATTTTCAGATTGTACATTACTAATATATAAAAATACAATTGATTTTTGTATATTGATCTCATACCTTGAAACTTTACTGAGCTAGTTTATTAGTTTTAATAGTTTTTAGTGCATTCCTCAGGATTTTCTATATATAAGATCATGTCATCTGCAAATAGAGATAGTTTTACTTCTTTCCTTCCAATCTGAATGCTTTTATTTCTTTTTCTTGCCTAATTGCCCTGGATAGAACCTCCAGTGCAGTGTTGAATAGGAATGGTGAAAACAGAATCCTTGTCTTTTTTTAATTTTAGGGGGAAAAAAATTCAGTCTTTCATCATTAAGTATGATGTTAGCTGTGGTTTTTCATGAATGTCCAATATCAAGTTCAGGATATTTCCTTCTGTTCCCAGTTTGTTAAGTTTTCTGTAATGAAAAAGTGTTGAATTTTATCAAATGCTCTATTTGATTCCATTGAGATGATCATGTGGTTTTTGTACTTTATTCTATTGATATGGTGTATTACACTAATTGATTTTTTAATATTAAACCAACCTTGCATTCCTGGGATACATCCCACTTGGTCATGGTGTATAATCCTTTTTATATGTTGCTGGATTCAGTCTGCTAGTAGGTCTTTTTTTTTTTAGGTTTTTGCATCTATATCCATAAGATGTATTGGTCTGTAGTTTTCTTTTCTTGTGATACCTTTGTTTGGTTTTGGTATCAGAGTGGTACTGGCCTCACAGAATGATTGGGATTTTTTCCTTCTGTTTTTTTTTTTGTGAAGAATTTGTATTTATTTTTCTTTACGTATTTGATACAATTCATCAGTGAAGCCATCTGGGCCTGGGCTTTTCTTTGTGAGAAGTTCTGAACATCTTTTAAAATCCAGTTTGCTTTTTTTCCCACCTATTGTTCATTTACTTCAGAAACTCTTTTTCCTTCCTTGTGTGGGTAAAAAAAATGACAGTCTTATTTGAAAGAATAATAATTATGTTATACCGTTTTCAAAAACAAGCAAAACAAAAAATAAAAAGGAAGGAACAAAGGAAGGCAAGGACAAAGGAAGTAAAGAAAGCAAACCACACATTTTCAAT